CTTCCGATTTATCCTCACAATAGCCCTGTGGAATTAGTTAGGCTGGCATATGTGGCCGGTGCCAGGTCGCCCAGTGGGCCTCATGGCCAGGGGGACTTGAACCTACATCCAGACTGAAATGGCCACTGCGCCTCATTTGGCTCTCCAGCCCCTGGCTCCTGCAAAATGTTTCTCGGGTCCAAACAGGCACCTGGCAGTTTCTTGGAGAATCATGGTCGTCGCCTGCTTTTCTCCCCAGCTCTTCTCCCACGCAGTGTCTGCCAATGGAGAACCCGTAGAGGACCCCATGGAAGTGATCATCAAAGTCAGCGACCAGAACGACAACCGGCCCCAGTTCACCCAGCCTGTCTTCTACGGAGCAGTGCAAGAAGGAGCCCCGCCAGGTAGGCAGGGTGCCTGGGGGAACAAGGGCGGGCAGGACTCGATGCCTTGGGCGCACTCCTTCAGGAGGGTATTCCTCACTTGGACCCAGGGAGGAAAGGGGGGGGAAGGGGGCCTGGCAGGGAATTCAAGTGGTGCCAGCTGACGCTTCCTAGCCAGACGTGCAGCATGGCATGGTAGTCTAACCGCAGCGATTCCAAGGCCTGTGGATCTGAAGTTGGGTCCCTGCAGCTGCCTAGCACAAGAGAAATGCGAATGGGGCACAGATCCTGCCTGGCTTGCACTCAGCCAAGGGGGGAAGGGTCTCCTGCCGCCGTCTCAGGCGGACTTGCTTCTGCCACCTTCCTTGGGTGATCCGCTTCTGAAGATGCCTTTCTGCTGCTGCTGCTGCTTCTCTGGAAACAGAGTTTTGACCCTTTGGTTCCACGTCCCCAGGGACCACCGTGGTGCAGGTCTCGGCCACTGACTCAGACGACGCTGTGAATACCTACAACGGGGTGGTCTCCTATTCCATCCTCAGCCAAGCCCCTCCAGAGCCCCACCCCCAGATGTTCACCATCAACAGCGAGACGGGCATGATTAGCGTGGTCGTATCTGGGCTGGACAGAGAGGTGAATGTTTCGGCAACTCTGTGTGTGCGTGTTTGCACACTCGGGGGTGTGTGTGTCAGGACTGTGCTGAGCAAGACGCAGCCTTCTTCGTCAGTAGCTGTAACTGAGTCTGATGGGAAGGGCTGAGGACCAAGCAAGCTGGCTCTGAAGTCAGTCCCCAAGAAGAGGCTGCAGTCCCGTACTTGGCTAAGGCTGCCTTTGGCTCCTTCGCTCGCCCCCGCACAGTCTTGGGGAAGGAAAAGGGAGGGCCCAGCAGGGCCCCTGAGCAAGAAGCAGGTGGCCCCTGGGATGTAGCACCTGACATATCAGTCAGGATGTGATTGGTGGAAAGTGGAGTCAGGGCGGGTGGAAAGGAGAGCTGCAGGTGGGTAGGTCCACGTGAGGGTAGCAGCTGCTTGGCATGTGGAAGGCCCCGGGTCCAGTGTGGGTGGGAGACATCTCCGCCAGAGCCCCTAGAGAGCTGTTGGCAGGCAGAGGAGATGGGACTCACCCAGGGAGACCGTGGCCCGGCTGAGCACTTGGCTCCGTGTGTTGAACCACCCTGATGCCTTGTGGGCACTGAGCAGTCCTTTCTATTTGGCTGCGTCCGTTCCGGAGATTGGGGGGGGGGGAAGGGAGGATTTGGGATAACTCTTGGGGAAGATCACTGACAAGTGGCAACCTTGTGTACCATGTGGGGGGCGAGAGGGATGCATTTTCACAGCTCCTCTCCACAGTAGGGCCGTTTCCCTTGCCTCCGTCTCCTGTCGCTGCCACCCCCTCCCGTACACCTTCAGGGAGGCTTTTATATGCAGCCGTCCCCCTGGAGGAGTGTCTCGCTGGGGCTGCAGGTCCATCCACCGTGGAGCAGACATGCATTTGCTGTGCAGGCCATGGTGGTGCAGGGTTTCTTTAATACGTAAGATGGTAACATTTGCTGTGAGAGTGCAAAGGATTTGAGACAAACATAGAGGAGATTCTGAGCTCTCTCACTGTACTTCATACACCTAAGAAGTTAATTTTTCTTTCTGATGTTACTTTACGGCAATTTTTAACAACTTGATGGGGGGGCTACTGTCCTGAAGGCCATAGCACAAGTTTCTCTTTATTTGGATGTTGTCTTCTGTTGTTAGCTGTGGTGTTTGCTTGTTTGCAATGAAGCCTGTCTGGGTATCTGAAATTCTGTACCCCTTGAATCCTGAAGGGAGGCTGTGATCAACCAAGACAGGCGCATGGCTTTCTTTTCCTGGGGAGGGTCATAAACTCAACACCATTCCATTTGTGTTCTTTGCTTGCAGAAATTCCCCAGGTACACGCTGGTCCTCCAAGCTGCGGACATGCAGGGACAAGGCTTAACCACTACAGGGACAGCCGTGATCACTGTTGGTGATGTGAATGACAACCCTCCGATTCCCCCCCCAGCCACGGTAACGGGCCTCCTCCTTCTTCCCCCCAACCCCTTTTATGATGCTGTACTCAAGTGGTTAAGACGATCACTGTTGGTGATGTGAATGACACCCCTCCGATTCCCCCCCCAGCCACGGTAACGGGCCTCCTCCTTCTTCCCCCCAACCCCTTTTATGATGCTGTACTCAAGTGGTTAAGACGCTGAACTGCAGGCTGTGGAAGGTCGGTAGTTCAGCAGTTCGAGACCCGGGTTGCCGCATGACAGAGTGAGCTCCCGTCTCTAGTTCCAGCTCCTGCCAACCTAGCAGTTTGAAAACAAGAAATTGCAAGTAGACAAATAGGTACCACTTTGGTGGGAAGGTAACAGTGTTCCGTGCGCCTTGGCGTTTAGTCATGCCGGCCACATGACCACGGAAACGTCTTCGGACAGCGCTGGCTCTTCGGCTTTGAAACGGAGATGAGCACCGCAACTCTAGAGTCGGATTCGACTGGCTTTCGAGCAAGGGAACCTTTTACTAGTTCCCCAATGACACTCTCCCCCCCCACCCCCCCAGAATATTACCAGCCTCCTCCAGGGCTGGGGGGGCAGGGAAGCATGCTGCCTTTCTTTCAGGGGGGAAGTGGCTGGCCCACCCGGAGATGTCGGGCAGCATGTCACAGCGAGGCTCAGAGGAGCTGGACGGCCCCCCCTTGCCCAGCAGAGACAAAAACCTGAGCAACAAAACAGACCAGGGTCAGCCGCGGGGAAATAAAGCTCCACCGGGGTGGTTTCCTAGCCCGGCAGGCCCACGGCTTCCTGCACTGCCCCCCCCACCTGCTGGGGGCCCCCCGTCTGCCTAGCTCTCCGCTCTGATTCCCAGACTCCCGGCCAAGATGGGACTCCCCACCCTGCGCTGACGGTCCACGCGCTGAACGTCCTCACCGGCCTCCCCGCGAGCGGCCTGGCCATGCGCTGCTTCTTCCAGCGCCAGGATCCTCACCAGCCGTGGACCCCCATCACTCAGAGGTAGGCAGCAGGAGCCCCTCTCCAAGTGGGGGCGAGACGCTTGCGGGTGCCACCAACGCCTGTTTCCATTCCAGCACTACGGACCGCAGCGGGCGCTGGGGCCAGACTGCCGCGATGCCCAGGAGGTTGGAGCCGGGCACCTACAAGCTGCGCTTTGAAACCGGGGCTTACTGGCGGGAGCAGGGCCACCGCAGCTTCTACCCCTATGTGGAAGTAAGTCTCCTACCCCGGGGGCCGCGTCAGGCAAGCAGGGCCGCTGGCGCAGAGGGAGGGCCGCCGGCCACTGGGTCAGCACCTTGCACTGCGGGCAGCATCTCTGGAGAATGGCTGGAATGTGCACAGGCCCAGCCCCCGCCTGGAGGCGGCCACCTCCTCCTGCGCTCCTCCTGCTGAGAGTAGCTGCCCCCACATCAGTGGCAGAGGCCCCGTTTCCCTTTGCAGGGGGCACGTGTGCAGACAGGGAAGTCTCATCATAAAGCGGAGGGAGACAAAGGAAGGAGAAAGAGGCTAGGAGGGGTACTATTAGGGCTGGCCCATCATTGACAGATTTTAGGCAGTAGCCTAGAGCAGCCCCCCTGAAAGGGGGCACTGCACTGGCCTGCCACACTGCCCCCCCGCCCCTCCCTTGCCAAAAGCCCTGCTCAACTCACCACCAGGAGACGCGTCCTGGTGGCCGCAGGGTCCTGGGAGCCCCATCGGTTTGCAGGGAGGGAGAGCAGGGGCGCCGGGGAGTGGGAGCTGCCCGCTCTGTCATTAGGCAGTGGCGGCAGATCTCAGCAGAGAGTGGCCACCTTCGCTGCCCAGCCCAGCCAGTGCTGTGGGATGGGGCACCCCCAGCACACCGCCAAAGGGCTCCTTTCCCTCCTTCCCTGCATACCAGCAGCGGTGGTGGGGACACAGAAACGGCGCCAGAGCTGTCGGTGGAGTGCACCCCTTCCCCTGGCCCACTCGGAGCCAATGCCAGGCTGCCTGGCTGCTGCCTCAATCCTATGCAGGTGTATTCAGAATTAAGTTCTATGCTGTGCACAGGACTGCAGCCGCAGGGATTTCTTTTGCAGCATTGCACACAGGGCCGGCACGGGGGCGCCACAAGGTAACCTCGCCTAGTGTGCAAAAGAACCAGAGGAGGGCCCTGGGTACTCGGAAGGGTGGCTAGGAGGGCAGTTAGCCCGCCATCGGGTCTGGAGACGGCAGGGCCCACGGCCACGTCTCTCGTGCCGGCAGCGGAAGAGGAGGCAGAACCCCGGCCGAGGGGAGCCGGCAGCCCAGGGCACTGCTCCGCTCCAGGAACTCAGGATCCCCCACCCCCCCTTGTCTGTTTCAGATCGTCTTCACCGTCACCGAAGCGGAACAGAAGGTCCACATCCCTCTGCTGCTCAGCCCCTACTCCTACACCACTTACCGGGGGAACTAGCCGAAGGGAGGCCGGGGGAGAGGCAGACACAAGGATAATAAAAGGCTTCCCCCTCAAGGGGTGGCTGCGAGAGCAAACGTCAAGCCTCCTGGATTAGTTGGGCGGCAGCCTGGGCTCCCGCGCATGCGGATCACGTGCTCTTTGCTGAGGTGCTGCTGCTCGGGGCGGGGGGGTTGTTGCAATAGAACAGGGGCCCACGGCCGCTGCCCCACAAAGGCAGCCGAACACCATTCCCAGTCGCCCAGGCCATATGGGGACCTGAGGGGGGGGGGAGGAAGAAAAAGGGTGCCTCTGCGGAGCCAGTGTGCGAAACACCCTTGCAGGGCCTCTTTAATGCATTGCAAAGGGGAGCCGGCCGGGCCAGCCCAGTCCCTGCTGCCTGCCACCCGCAGCCGCCGGAGGGGGCGAAGCAGCCCCGGGAAGGAGGAGATGCGGTGCTCCCTGGGCCAGAGGCCTCCTGGAGGAAAGCGCCCGGGTCCGCTAGGTGGGGGTCGAGACGAGTCCGGCAGGGCCTTGCCCCAGGATGTGGCCGACCACCGAGGTCTCCAGGGGCTTGAAGCCCAGATTGTCCAAGGGGATCCCGAAAGCCATCAGCTTGGCCTCGTAGGTCCGCAGGAGGTCGTTGTGCGCCTGCAAGGGTGGGGAGAGAGAACGTGAGGAGGAGGCTGCAGCGGAGGGAAGCACGCAGACACAGACGACGCCGGAGGCCATCCTTTGCTGTCTGTAGATTTCTTTTTACCTAAGGCTGCTCGGGGTGGCCCCGGAACGCAGGTCAAAAACCCACACACAATGGGACTACACACAGGCAGGGTCCCCCTCCCTTTACAAACCTGGGGGAGCCCACAGGTTTGCAGACAAACCCAAAAGTTGCCAAACTGGAGAAGCAACTTGTGTAGCCCTTGCAGCTAAAAAAAATACTGAGTTAGATCACAATCAGCATTACATGTGGCGGGAGGAGGAGGCGGCGGTGGGGGCGGAAGCATATGACAAGGGGTTGGCAAGATGAAGCAGGGACCCGTGGCAGGGGCTCAGAGCGGAAAAGGCAGGGGGCGGGCTTTCCACTCTGCCTCCTTACCCCAGCACCTGTCACCTTGGGTGGGGTCTGGGCTTGGGGCATAAGGCGTGCCTGGTAATCCGGCCTCAGCCTCCTCTGCCTCCATCAGCTGGCTGCCAGGGGTGGGTGGCCTGGAATGGAGTGTGGGGTCTACAAGCCCTCCAGGCTTTCAACTGCAATGCGCCCCCCAACCTTCGGCTCCAGGTAGAACAAAAGGGGAGGAAGTGGGGCCAGCGGGGGGGGGGGAGGGGGAGAAATGGGACTTCCGCTCTCACACACAAGGTTTCACGGGCCTCCCTCTGGCATGGGTGTATGTTCACGATGCCTCCGCACTTAGAGGACTCTCCCAGCTAGCTTGTGTCATGGCCTCCCATTCCCAAAATGTTCCCAAAGAGCAGGAAGAGGGCAGATGAAAGGACCTGGACTACCTTTTGGAGGAAATGCCAAGATCATCAGCAACGGCTGAGGAGGTTTGGGGGAAAAATGCACGGGGGGGGGGGGGGGGGGGGTTAAGGGAGGGGGGTTTTA